GGATGCAAAGAACCTAAAATGCATCAGATGGTTTCCCTTTCCAGAGTTCAGAGATGCAGGCTCATGTTGGGCCCCGGACAACGTTTCACCAGTCACCCGCAACTCATTCAAGACCCCAACAAGCTGCACGTGACTGAGGGCAAAAGTGCACAGGGTCCAGAAAGGAAGCAAACTGGACAGCTAAGATTCATCGCAGCCTTTCAGGGAGTGGACTGGGTCCTTCGTGACCAGAAAGCCATGTGTGACCTCTGTGATTATTCTTGAGAAGACAGACTATCTTTGCTCTAACCAAACACCTAACTAGAACCAAATTTAGGAGGCGGGATTTGTTTGGGCTTGTGGTTTAGGAAGGGGTACAGCACAGTCCACTGTGGTGAAGATAGCATGGCGGCAGGCGTGTGCAATAGCTGGTCATACCGCAGCTACAGCCGAGAAGCAGAGAGAGAACACTGGCGATCAACTCAATCTCATTTTCATTCAGTCTGGGACCACAAGCCATGGAATAGTACTGCCCATGTTCAGGGTAGGTCTTCCCTGCTCAGTTAAACCTACCTGGAAATGTTCTCATTGTCTCCTCCAGAGATGTGTTTCCATGGTGATTCTAAATCCCATCGATTTGAAAATGAAAATGAACCATCACACTCCGGATGTGTGTGAGGAATGAGGGAAGAAGGAAGGCACTTGCTTTAGGCAAGTGACCACTTCTCAATCGGCTCTCCTGTGTATCTGGCTTGGGGCCTATACAGACACCCTTGGCATGTTGTGCATCTAGGCTATGACTTTTGAGCAATGACTGAAGCTGACAATCAAGATTAAACATCGTTAGGACTTTGTGCTTTGGCTGGGAAAGTGTCGCCTCTCTGGGAACTCTGAATTTAATTGTACAGTGTAGATATTCATAGCTTTCCACTGTCCAAAAATTGGCTTTGGTGGGGACCTCCAGTGACAGAGTTGAACACAATCGTGACTGAGGACATTTCTTATCTCCTTACAGATTTCAGCCAGCAGGGCTAATCTAAAAAGACTCACAGCCATATCCTGCATGAGCTCAAGCCCAGTCTCCATAGCACGAGGTCAGGGTCCCACGACCCAGGAAATACTGTTATGCAATTCCAGTCGTATAGGTGAGGGATCACAGCTTTGACATCAGCCTTGAGGCCAGGGCCAGTGCCCCATCTTTGTGGTCACAGTGGCCAGTGTAAAAACCTAACAGCCTCACATAGATAAATGTGGAGGCCTCTGATGGACCTCCAGTTAGGAACCAGGTGACATCAGTCCTGGTTCCCATCCTCGGTCCTTGAGTCCTTTGAGGGTCCTGCAGAGCAGGCAGAGATCCATCGTATCACAGTTGTTGGGAGTGGAAGGAAGTGAGGTCATCCGCTTGCTGAGCTATTCTTATAAACCTAGAACAATTAAAGTTTCACTGCCCGCTACAGTGGAGCTTCTGTGTTGCCCCTTTGACACTGCAAAGTGCACTTCTCATCCGCAAATACGGTAAGTGGGGGAACCTGCCTCTTTCTAAGCTGCACTGGACATGGTGACTTTTAGAGGAGGGTGCAGGGCTTGTGCTCTCTGAGCCTGCTGAGAAGGAGCCCTGTGGGAAGCAGTGGCCTCAGTGGAATCTCCCACAAACTTCCACAAGCCCTGAGGTCCTTAGCTCCGCGGTGCATCCCATCCACACGGGGGTCTGGAGAAAGCAACACCTCCCGCGGCTTTGCCACCTCTCACACTGTTGGTGGTCACTTGCAGTCCTTTGTCCACTGTGATGAAAAAAACCTTGGCAATCCGACTAAATAAACTCCAACAGGAGCCCCTATGACCAGGCTTTGTCCTGTATAATCTACAGACATTATTATAGTCCCCTTCTTACTTGGTGTCCAAATCCAAAACAAGCTCACTATTTCACCTGGCAGAGATAGGCCCTGCAACCAGGCCATCTTCTCAGCACAGTGGGCAGAGATTAGATTGAACATATCACCAAGTCCCCTAAACCAAGATATCAGGAGTATAGGATTTTTGACCGTCACTGGGCCACTAAGTCTAGAAGCAATTACATGTACATTTTTAAAGTTATGTTTTAATTGGAAAACAGTTAAAAGTCATCTTTTGGTTGGAAATCCATGCCTACTATTGCTGAAAAGAAAACAATAAACAAGCTCACTTGCCATGAAACAGAACAAAACTAAACCTATCTTGAAAAGCCATGTGATACCACCGTCAGTGCCTCCAAATAATGTATGGGTAAGAATTTTAAGTTATATTTTAAAATAAAGTAAAAATAAATGCTTAGAGGTTATTGCTTACAAAAAAGTAATTAATTAACTAAATATTATGACTGAAATACTTTTAGAAACAAGTTCACCTAGTATCTGCATAATCTGACCATACTATGTTTCCCTGCAACCTCCCAAGAATATCCTTGCTATATAAGTTCTGGAGGAAGTATTTCATTAGAGAGGCAGGCACAGCTAACACCTAGTTACTAGTGAGGCCTTTAAAGCCCCACACTGTGCTGAATCTACAAGGCAGGGCAGAGCATTCCTCTGGACACACACAGCTTCTTTTTAGTGTTGATGTGTCCAGTTGTTTCACGTGAGTGTGCTCCAGGAACTAACTTCAGTAAGAAACATACCACATAATAGAGATGACGCAGGGATAGAGAATGTCACAGAGAACAACAACGTAACTTTCAAGAGTCTAATGAAACCTTAGGCAATGCTGCTGCAATCAGAATGTAGCACCACCTTTTCTGAGTCCAGGATTGACAGTGCTCTTGCCCTATCACACTGAAGCATTTTTATACAGTGAGATGGGACAGTGTATACCTTGTCGGTGAGAGAAAGTGAACATGGCCATTGTGGTTTGCATAGGAATGGCCCCCATAGGTTCATATACTTGAATGCTTGGTCATTAGGAGGTGTGGCCTTGTTGGAGGAGGTATGTCACTCAGGTGGGCTCTGGGATTTCAAATGCTCAAGCCAGGCCCAGTCTCTCTCTTCCTGCTGCCTGTGGATCATGATGTAGAACTCTCAGCTCCTCCTCCAGCGCATGCCTGCCTGCAAGCTGCTATGACAACAATGAACTAACCTCTGAAATTGTAAGGCAGCCCCAATTAAGTATCTTCCTTTATGAGCCTTACCACAGCCGTGGTGTCTCTTCACGGCAATAGAACATTGACTAAGACGCCGTGTCTTTTGTCTTGAAGGCAGCCCCACTCCAGCATGAATGGATTTCTCCTTCCTCTGATTGTTTCCCCAAAGTCACCATAAATACTGTTCCTGCCCCTCCTGGCTTAACCATTGATGCTGTCCACCCTAACCCACACTTCTGAAAAATCCCCAGCCCCATGACCAAGTCCCTCAGAAGCCCTAGCAAGAACCATAGCCTGTAAGTAAAGTTCATCCTGCCTCTCTCACCTTTTCTCTCACCCTGGTAAAAAGCCCCTTCACCCTTCTATTGCTTTTGCAGTTGTCAGCAGTGGATGAATGAGTGACCAAGGAAACAGGCTTTCCTTCAATAAATGAGCACTTTCTTTAGAACATAATCCCTCCTTCTTTGGTTTAGAACACCAATGCAGCTGTGTTCCCACCATGTGTCTTGAGTTGCTTTAGGGAGAAGAGAAATGCCAACTCTTGACCACAGATGGCTTCGGGGAGGAGGAAAAGGCATCACTACAGAACTTAGGACAGCAATGCCAACCTGACAGCTAACACCTCCATGTGAGGACTTAAGCCTTCAGACTTGGTTTCCTGACTCCGAGAAGCACAACACAGTGATCTGGATGAAGCAACCAGGCATCATTTTCTGAGGAGGGTGTTTGAGCAATTTCACAACTATCAGTGCAACAGATACCCTCCCCACCTCCACCCCCCCACACACCCCCCACACACCCCCACCCCCCGGCTACAGAAGCTCTACTGTGTCACAGCCTCTGTTGTCCTCCTCTGCAGCACGACTGGAAATCAGCATTTTAGCTCAACTCTTCCAGGAACTATATTTTGCTACACTGTTTCATAGAAAGGTTCTTCAGTCCTGGCCCCTGAGACACTTAGAATGTTGGAAACACATATAAAATATTTTAAATTATGTCATTTGTAGGGAAAAATATGGAACCAGAGACCACTGTGTTAAGTGAAATAAGCCAAGCTAAGAGAAGAGTGTGTGTGTGTGTGTCTGTGTGTGTGAGTGTGTGTGTGACTGTGAGTGTGTCTGTGTGTGTATCATGAAAATGGAAGGGAGTATTATACCAGGGAGGGGGTAAGTGGAACAAGAAAGGGAAGTTGGGGAGAAAACAAAAATTGTATGCTTTCTCTCATGTAGAATGAAGATCTAAATATATGCAACATGAAAGTAGAAAGACTATTTGGAGAGAGAAAAGGACAAGGGGAAAGGGAAAGAGGGAGAAAAGAATGGCAGGAGGTGAATGTGAACACAGTAAACTAGCATGTGTGTGAAAGCATAGTGAAGTCCAGTATTTTATACTAAAATACTAATAAAATTAAACCAGATGTCATAATGAAACCCAATACTACCTAAAATATTAATTGAAAATAAAATATTTTTTAAAAAATCAGCCTCCTTCCTAAATGATTTTCCCCATGAATATTTCTACATCGAATCCTGTGACATTTGTTCTCTCTATGCACGATTGGAAACTCACTTAGATGTCTCTATATTTGTTTTTCAGAAAGAATAAAGTTTGGTAATTTTAGTATTGATCTTGAATTAGGGGCTCCTACATTGAGGAAACAAACACGAACACACAAGTTATCCCTTAATTATGATTATGTTTGCAGCTTAGTTGCTCCTGATGGGAGACATATCTCTCCACACATAGACAGGTACAACTATATTTTAACACGCTGTGAGTCCTGCCTCCATTACCAGCCTCCAGTGTCAGAAGGGCCAGGCTTTCTTCTAGAAACTCCTAGGATATAAGCTTTCGTGACCCTTTCCTTTCAGAGGTACAACCCCAGGAGTCTACTTTCAAAAGAGCTTACCTGGTAATCTGAGTTCTTGTACTGAAGTCCAGAGACCTCATTGAGCGCAGAACTTCAATGCATCCCAAGTACTGCAAAAAGAGAAGACAGTGCATGAGTCCTGGGAGCCGAAAGCAATAGGAAAAGCACTAATGATGTCAGGAGGTTGGGGAAGCCATACAAATTCTTACATCACGTTGTACCTTTAAATTGAAGGGAAGGGCACCGGTGAGATGGCTTAGTGGTTAGAGGTGTCTGCCGCCAAGCCTTGTGCCCTGAGTTCAATCCCCGGGGAGCCACGTAGAAGCAGAGACAGCTCCTGTAAGCTGTCCTCTGACCTTCACATGCACACTGCTAAGCTCTTGCTCTCTCTACCTATCTATCTCCCTATCTCTTTTCTCGGAGACAGAGAATAAATAATTTTTAGTATAAAAATGATTTAAATTCTAGGTGCGATGTATTTTTATTAAAACCCTAAACCTAGACTTTTATCTATCAGAAAATATCCCAAGTGCCTAGATTGACAGAACCCTTGACTTTTATAAAACCTGTGAGCATTGCCATTTTCTTTAGAGGTATGTTTTTCAACATTTTTATTAAATAATACCTTATATAGTGTGAGATGTGAAAATCTTAAATGTTTATGTTAAGCATTGCCATTTTCTTTAGAGGTATGTTTTTCAACATTTTTATTAAATAATACCTTATATAGTGTGAGATGTGAAAATCTTAAATGTTTATGTTAATGCTATTAAAGCATACTTTCAATAATAATGCTTTCCCTCTACCCAAACATCCTATTCCTGGATCTATACAAGACTTCTAAAGGTTCTTAAATAATAATATTTTGGTTTTTTGAGACATGATTTCTCTATGTAGCCTTGACTGTCCTGGAACTCTATAGACCAGGCTGACCTTGAACTCAAAGATCCACCTGCCTCTGCCTTCTGAGTGCTGGCATTAAAGGCATACACCACCACTTGCCCAGCTAGGGTCTTAAATTTAGAAGAAGAAGGAGGAGGAGGAGGAAGGAGGAGGAGGAGAATTTGCCACTATACAACCAACACTTTTACTAATGCTAAACCTCTCTGTCTTAGTTAGGTTTCCATTACTGTGATTAAAACACCATGACCAAGTAGCTTGTGGAGGGAAGGGTTTCCTTCAGCTGACAGTTCTATAGCACAGGACATCACTGAGGGAGTCGGGGCAGGAACCCAAACAGGATAAGAGCCTGGAGTCAAGAGCTTATGCAGAGGTCATGGGAGAGTGTGCTGTTTATGGCCTTGTTCCTCATGGCTTGTGCAGCCTGTTTTCTTATACACCAAAGGACCACCTGCCCAGGGTTGGGCCCTCACTCATCAATCACTAATTAAGAAAATGCCCTACAGACTTGCCCACAAGCCAATCACATAGAGGCATTTTTTTCACAATTGTGAGTCCCTCTTCCCAAACATCTCGAGCTTGTGTAAAGTTGACATAAAACTAATCAGGACTCCTACATTGTCTAATAGATATATTTTCAGGGTTATGAGTAAGCTACAGAGCACTTCAGTTTAGCAGAAAGCCTTCACTGTTTACCTCACGTCTCCAGAAGCTCAAGGGCACACACTGCAGTGTGGAACTTAGGTCAGTCCCGCTCATAAAGATGTGCAGGTGGACAGTCACAGCAAGGGAGGCAGTGTCTGCTCTAAGCCCTGGGGGGGCTAGAAGACACAGGCGCCTTCAAACTAGACTGCATGAGCCTCGTGAAGTCTCATAATGTGGTGCAAATAGCAGTTTGTTTGCATTGTACAGAAAACCCAAGCCTGGGCCTGGCTTTGCCGTCTATTGTTACGTAACTTTATGTAACACTTGACCCACTTCTCGAAACTGAAAGTCTCTGCACCTACAAACGTGGTTGTTCCTCCCTCCTCGGCACCAAGGTCAACGTCAAGGTGGCGGAATACCGCTAGCCCCATCTGAGCCTTGTGGGTTCTAAGGGCAATGATAGAACTCTATTCTGCTAGACAACCCTGCTGATGGATCATTTGGTCTCCACCACAACCACAACTCTCTGGGCTGGGAGATGGCTCAGTCGTTAGAGTGAAAAAGCCTTCTAAGTATGAGGATCTGGGTTTGGTCCCCTAGATCCATGCACAATAAGCCATAAGCCAAGCATGACAGAATGAAACTTAATCCCAGTTCTGAAAATGCAGAGACACAGGATCCCTGGGCTTGCTGGACAGCCAACACAGCTGAATTTGTGAGCTCCAGGTTCAATGAGAGACCGTCTCTCAAAAACTGGGGTAGAGAGTGACTGAGGAAGACACCCTAAATTAACAACTTTTCTGTACACACATATGTATGTGTACATGTTCCTGCAGACACATGCAGATAAACAAGAGTACGTATACACATATATATGCACACGTCTGCACACCTACTTCCACACACAATCGTAACTCTCACCCATGAGTAAAGCATCCTGAATTCCTAAATTGGCACCACATTTGACTTTCCTAAAACCTATTAGCATCATCATTTTATTTAGATGTACATTTTCCAAAGTACCACAGAATTATATAATTACAGAATCCGATGTTCCTGTGACAAATGGGCCAAATGTCACACGCTTGTGTGATGACCACCATTATCAAAGTCAACACATCCCACACTGCATTGCAGAGTTCTGTGGAAAGCATGTCCAGTATCCAAAAGTTAGATGAACACAGTCCACTATCCAGGGCCACTGTGAATGCCAAGTTCACGGATGCCCTGAGACTGGGGGAACATAGTGACCACCATTGTGGTGATGTTAATACCAGGTCTAACACAGAGGAGCTGTGAGAATGTCACAGGAAACCATGCAGCACAGGTACAGAACACTGTCACTTCTGTTACACTGGGAATCCCATCTAGTCCAGACGCTTAGGCAGGGGAGTCACAGGCCTGCCCAGTAGCACAGCCTATGCCTGGCCAGATTGTGTCACAGTGAAAGCCTCCCTCAAAAGAACGGTTGAAAGGGGGCTGGGGGTGTAGCTCACAGACAGAACACCTGCCTAGTATATGTGAGTAAGGCCTAGGCTCAACCTCCAACACCATAAAAAATTAATTTATTAATTAATGAGATAAAATGTTTGGTGATAGAGACAGACCGTGATGTTGGTATTTCCTCAAAGGAAATATGAAGAAACATTCGTTCACAAGTATGTGGTACTAGCATCCTAAGAGCTTGTGGACAGCATCATGTGGAGTGTCAGGGGTGAACACACCCCACTAAGGTCTGGAGCAAGGTGAAGATGTGCACTTTAACCACTGCTGTCCAACAGAGAGGTAGAAGTCTCAGTCAGGGCAACCAGCAAGACAAAGAAATACAACACACTGGGGTTAGAAAGGAGGAAATCAAATTGCCATGTCTGCGTGTGCGTGTGTGCACACCTATTAGAATAACAAATTAAGAATAATTAATATCGATAACAAAATCAGCAAAGCGGCAGGATGCAAAATCAATGTAATAAAATCAGTATCTTTTCTACACGCCAATAACAAATTACCTGAAAAAGAAATCAAGAAAGCAAATACATTTATAAGTTACCAAAAATAAAATTCAAAAAAATGTTAAAGAGATAAAAAAAATGGCTACACTGAAAAGGATAAAATGCTTACAAAAGAAAGGGAAGAAGATATGGAAAGGCTGAAAGCCAGCCCCTGTCTGTAGACAGGAGAGAAAACTACTAAATGTCCATTCTGTCCACAGCAATGTTCACCTTCAATGAAGTCCATATGAAACCAGTCACATTTCCACGGAACATCATCCTAAAATTCATAGGAAACTATCAAAATAAATAAACCCAGACAGCAACGTCATCATCAGTGAAAAGAAAACAGCTGTAAACATCACCATTTGGACTATTTCAAAGTATACTACGAGGTTATAGCTGTACTGGCTAGTTTTATGTCCACTTGATACAAGCTAGCGTCATCAGTTAAGAGGGAACCTCAATTAAGAAAGTGCCTTCCCAAGATCAGGCTGTAGGCAAGCTTGCAAGGCATTTTCTTAATTAGTAATGGATGAGGGAAGGTCCATTGTGGGTGGTGCCATCCCTAGGCTGATGGTCCTTGGTTTTATAAAACATAAACAAACAAACAAACAAATAAGTAAATAAACAGGCTGAGCAAGCCGCTTGAAGCAAGACAGTAAGCAGCACCCCTCCAAGGCCTCTGCTTCAACTCCTGCCTCCAGGTTCCTGCCCTGATTGAGTGCCTGGCCTCACTGCTTTTGATAATAAGCTGCTATATGGAACTGTGAGTGAGGTAAACTCTTTCCTTCTCAAGTCACTTTGGCCATGGTGTTTTGCTACAGCTGCAGGATCATTCAGGCATCATTCATGAGGTCAACCCATCAGAATCAAGGATTCTCTTGGAGGATTAAAACAAGACGTAAGGTGTATTGCAGTTATTGCCTTATGAATGAACTGGCTGTTTCTGACTGCAGATTTCTCCCATAGCTTACTCCCATCTGCTAGAAATTTGGGATATATCTCCCACGGTTCAGCACTATTTGATCATTCATTGGACACGATTTCCCCTATGCATTTGGGATATATTGATAACATCTCCTAGGTATGTGTAAGAACAGTCACACAGTCAAAAAAAAAAAAAAACCTGTTTCCCACAGCCAGGTGCCTTGCTAATTGGATTTTAAGATAAACTATCACCAAAAGAATACAACCTTATTTACTAGGACATGTAGCCAGCTGTAGGATTTGTTGAGCCAAGGTAAACAGTGCAAAGTAACCAAGCTGCAGTAGCAGGGACAATAATTAACTCCACACAGATTCCTAACCTCAGTGTTATGGCCTTTGTTCAGACACCATGGGATAAGTTCTCTGACTGGCTAGGATTACCCACAAAATAAAAACTAACGTTATAGCCCCCACAAAAGGCATTACAAGCTTCTCTTTCTGTGGTAGGGTTACACACTGGACAGGAAAAGATATCTTAAGATTTGAGATGCTTTTAATGTCACTGTGCCTTGGCGCATGCTGTATGGGCTCCTCAGCTCCTCTGCCCCTCGTGCCCCTGCAGCTCCAGCTGCTGCTGCACTCTCTCT